ATTCAAGTATGATTATATCTTTAAAAAATATTACTTACGAAAAGCATATTGTAGGAAGCCTATTCATTTCTTTAAGTTTTTCCACAAAATAGGGAAACATTCTTCGTTTTTCTGTTTCAGGACTATCAAATGTTTGAGGCTTAAGATATGTCAGTAACTCATCCACCTGAATAAAATTTGCATAAATAGTAGGTTGTTGTTATTGTTGTGTGCCATCAAGTCACCTGCAACTCAATAGGTAGATCATAAAATTTATTTGTGATTCTGAAATATGTTAATGAAGTAGATTTTTATAAAGAAATAATTTTTGAATGGATGTGAATTACACCTTAATCGTACACTAAGCACTTCTAAATAAATTGAGTACTTAATCTTTTTGTGTTCTTAGATAACAGAATTTAAGTTAGGGTATCAAGATCTGGTGATGAATTTTACATATTCTAATTAAGAAATATTTTATAAAATGGTGATTCTCTTATACCTAACAATCAAATTTGTTTCATTTTAATCTTCTATTTATATAATACTTGAATAATTTTAGTATTAGCTTAAATTTGGTTTTTTAGCCATAACATTAGTCCCCTCTGGTCTTCACTATCTTAACTGTAGACACATAGTCTTGGAAATCATTAGCAGCTGTGGAACTAGGATAAGAAAGAGAGTGTGTTTCCTCACTAAGCAGAAAGTCTTGAGGGAGCCTGGAGCAAGACCCTGATGACAACAAGACCCTGGTGGTGAGACCTTGGTGATGGTGGTCGAAAGACTGTGTCATTGCTGTGGAGAAACTGTGGCAAGGTGTAACCAGAAGACCACTAAGATAAAGGCCACAATTAAAGGTTTTGCTGTGCTTGCTAGATAATTAAGGAGAAGGTTACTTATAAGTGCTTTGAGGCAAACCTTATTGGATGATTGAGAAAAATCAGAGGCTTCTTAAATTTGTGTTGCTAAACTAAAACCAGAACTTTTACTAATTAAGCAATTACATTTTACTTTTAGTCTAGCCTGGGACTGCTAGGCTAAATCTGGACTTGTGTTGTGAGATATTCTTTGCCTGTTCCACTCGCCAACCTATTTCGCTAATAAGCTTCACTCTTTGAATGATAAATGTGAGTAAAGTCTGAGTCAACAATGAATATTGAACCTCTTGCTACTGGTGTGGCTCTAGAGGCACCAGGTTCTTTCTATGCCTTCTGCTTTGTGGCTCTTAGGAGCTATGCAATTTTCACTTCCTCTGACCTTTTGAAAAAGACACTTTTGACCTTATATCCCTGTATACCTTTGTCTGCTCTTGAGACAATAAACTTAACTACCTTATCTGGGTCCAGCTGAATCCATTGAATTAATTCCTTTTTCAGTTCCTCTTCATATATTTTTGTATCTGCCTTCTTGATAACTATTTTATTTTTGAACAAACTGAATTCCTCAGGTTCTAACTCCTAAAAAATGAAGATCCAAATACCAGTGGGATTAGAATCATAATTTCATATAAGTTTTTTTCAAATATACCAATATAAAGTCTATCTATCATATAGTTAATACTCTTCAATATTCAATATAACTCTAAAACTCTTGTTACAGTTGAGTTGGTTCTGACTCATTGGAGACTCTCCATTGGGCTTCCAAAGCTGTAAATAGTAGAAGAGAAGAAGGCACAACTTTCTTCATGGAGCCACTCTCCGATGTATTTAAATTTCCAGAAAGGTATAGTTGATTATTAATTTATTCTATTCTCACAGGAATCTACCAACACACAAATCATTCTTTAATATTTATGTTTACTTTGCAAAGATAAAAAGGAAAATATCTGAAGTATTTGATTTTAAAATACAAAGTCATTCTAACTTGCTGAGAACTTTTAAAAGAATAATTCAGTTAATCTTCATAATAACACAAACTAAGTATGGTTATATTATTTTGTCCAGTGAAAATGAAATTTATTTAACAAGTTTGACCAATTCTAAGCACTGTGAATCTAGTGTGAGCTATTATAAATTATTTATTTTACCTTTATTTATACAAGAGTAAATTACATTTATCAGTTAATTAGCATATCTATGTATCTATGTATCTTTGTATGTATCTGTTTGCACACCTTCATTCTTGACCATTCTGGCCAAACATGTACCATAGCATCATATAGCAGTATGCTTTCCCGAGGAGAAAATCCAAGGTCTGATGGTATTCCATATTTCTTTATCTAAGAATTATAAAATGCAAAAACATTAATTTCATAGAATTTATTAATTTTAATACAGAAGCATTTTCTTTTTAGAAAATAGGTTCCACTTACATGACTGACTGTAAGTGCCCCACAAGGGTGGTAATGTTCAATAACAAAGTCATTATCCTTTATGGAACACACATACTTTTCTAGATCATTGTATCGTTCTTTGTATAATACTGTAAAATAGAATAGAGGAGTTAGCACAATTCAATTGCTTATTGATATTTAACTTCTCCTACCGGTCTCTCTGTCTTATATGATCTTATGAATTATTCAGACTCTGATTTTTAACTGCAATTTTATAATTTATTTTTCCATGCATTGTCAAAAAGCTTGCCTTGGCTTAATGAAACATGGGATGAAACAATTATGTGTGTGTGTAAACGGGTAGATATACATTCACATAGTTATTTAATTACAAATTATAAGTACTATTTTAATATTATCTCCCTCTAACATTACATGTCACAAGAAGGATTCTATTCCCTACCCATTTTTAAAATTTTCAAAATTGTCCTTTTGTTTGACCGTCAAGTCAACTCAACTCATAGCTAGCCTATGAACAACAAATCTGAACTTTTCCCTATCCTGTCCCATCCCCATACTATCTGTCATGCTCAAGCCCATTATGGAAAATCCTTTGTCAATCTATGTCTTGAGGATCTTGCTGTCTTTCACTGACCGTCTACTTTTCCTAGCATGATGTTTTTCTCCGAGAACTGGATCCTACTGAAAATATGCCCAAACTGAGTGTTAAGAAGTTTCAAGATTTTTGCCCTAAAGGAGTACTCTGATTACTTCCTTAAAAGCATATTTGCTTTTTCTTGTGACAATGTATGGCATATTAAATGATCTTAACAGCACAATTCAAAGACATTGATTTTTTCTTTAGTCTTATTTATTTTTTGTCCAACTTTCAGATTCATAGGAAACAATGAAAATACCATGGCTTAGATCAGACTTAGTCAATCTGTATGCTGTACAAATAACTTGAGAAGCTGGGCTTTATAAAAAAAAAAAAAAGAAAGACATTTTTGCTTGTAGAAAGTGAAGAAGGCATGAAGCACTTACAGCGGAAGATTAAAGACTAAGGTCTTAAATATTGGGTTACTTCTCGACATCAAGAAAACTACTCACCAGTGTGCCAATAGACATAATCATGACATGGAGAAAAGGTTGATCTTTTCAAGTGTTTTATTTTACTGGGTTTATAATCAATGACCCATGTTGCAGCTGTCAAGAAATCAAAATGCATGCTGCATTGGGGAAATCTGTTGTCAAGGAAATATCTAAAGGTCTAAGGAGTAAGAATGCCAGTTTAATGACTAAAGTGTCCTCAACCCAAGCCATGGTATTTAAAAATATAAGCACATGATATTCAATTGTTATTGTTGTTGTGTGCCATTAAAGTCACTGGCAACTCATGGTAACCCTATGTACAATAGCCCTAAACTCTGCTCTATCCTGAGCCAATTGTATTGTCTCTGACACACGTACTCCAGTCACTGACTCAATCCATCTCATCGAGGGTTTTCCTCTCTTGTGCTGTCCACCCACTCTTCCAGGCATGATGTCCCTCTTTAAGGACTGATTCTTCCTTGTGACATGCCAAACCTATGTCAGGCAGAGCTTCAGAATCCTTGCCTCAAAGGAGCAGACTGGCTTCACTCTTTTAGGTCGAACCTGTTTGTTTTCCCAGTAGTCCATGGTATATTCAAAACTCTTCTCCAACATCACAGCTCAAAGGCATCAATTCTCCTTCTATCATCCCTAGTTATCGCCCAGCTTTCTGCTGCATAATGAGTAATTACAAAGACTATAGCCTGGATCAGATGAATCTTAGTCGTCAGACTGATATTGTTACTCTTCACTGCTCTGGAGAGGTCCCCAACAGCAGACTTTTCCAATGCAATTTGTCTTTTAATTTCCTGGCTGCTAGTACTAATTAGTGTTAATTGTGAAGCCAAGCAAAATGAAGCTGTTAACAATCCCAGGTCTCTTCACCATCTATCATGATGAGGCCAATCATTCCCAGTAAGGAGAATCTTTGTTTTCTTGATGTCGAGTTTCAATCAGTATCTCTCTTTTTAATTTTTGACGTGACTTTCTTTTTTCTTAGCATTCATCCTTGTATAGAATAATATTTCTTTTACATATGTAACTTATTTATTTATAATATTTGAATTAAAACTCATTAAGTGCTTAAAATGATTTAATGATTGAAATGTTTTTTTCAAAGAAAATTATTTTCGTTCCTACCATCTGATGGTCTAGTGTTAAGAAGCTGTGCTGCAATCATGAAGGCACATGGTTCAAAGCTACCAGCAGCTCTACCAGAGAAGGATGAGCAACCTCCTCCCTTGCAATTAACTACCTGTTTTAAGACCACTAGAGGATCAGATATGAGTCCGTTCCAACTAGAAGACGAACAACAATATCTAAGTATCATCTCTGGGTATCTGTAGCTTCTCTTTGATTGGTAGATATTTTATATGATTAATATAGAGTTTATATGATTAAATAGACATTATATACAATTTTACACTACCTAACACATTGTCATGAAAGCAACATATACAGCAATATTCATTATTTCAATAGAGTGCATATGAAATATTAAACATATGCAAGCTATGGTCTTTCCATTTCAAACTTTGTTTTACAAGAAAAAAACAAGTCATATATCAAAATAATTATAATAGGTTATCTTTCATCCTATAAGGCATAGTATGAGGCCTGAATTAGTAGAATCACAACTGTATGTGAGCTTAAGTTTTAAGATAATATATTTTAAATTATGAATGTGTAGGATCTGGTCATATACAAATAGCAAGGAAAATATGAAATAAAAGATAAAAAGACAAAGAAATAGAAAAAGGAAATCTTTGGAGAACAATTAATATGCTGAGTTCAGGAAAGTAATAAAATTATTAGGGTATGATGTATATAATGAATAAATTATTTTTGAGATAGCTAATTTTTCAATGGGCCAAAATTGACTATAGATGTCTTTTTTTATTTTCATTTTTTTCTTAACAAAGTAAAAAGTTAATTATCCTTGCTACTTCACCCTTAAAGCACGCTAAAATTATGCAAGGACATCTTACTATCATGAAGTTTATAATCATGAGAAAGAACTTCGAACTTGAGTTCCGTAGATCCACTATTTGTGTGTACTCTATCAGATTAGTTAATTTTCTAGAGCTTCATATCATACTATGGCAATAAAATTAAAATTTATTTTCTTTTAATTTACAGCAATGACTGTAATAAGAACAAAGTTGTCTTATATATTGAAAAGACTCTAATAAGATTCAAAGGTCCTTGCTGAAAGATTGTTTGGAATGGCTTGAACCCATTCCACATGGCTGCAGGAGTTTGCTTCTCTAAAGGTAACAGCTAAGACATCATTATTTTTAGTGATTTAATTTTACATCTTAAAATCTAGCAGAGTAATTTTTCTCTGTTATTTTCTTCCATAAAAAGCAAATATTAGACAACATAAAAAATATGATGCAGGCAGGTGCATTAAGTTTGTTCAATAATTATATTCTCCCCCTTCTCCCATGGGAAAATACTCATACCCAATCTAACACAATAAGATGACTTTTGTATGCTTTTGTCTTTTTGTTTCTTTAAAACTTTTGAGGCATTTGATGAAGAATTTGAATTTTCCATTGCACTCTCTACATCTTGCCAGTATCTTTTAATTTGTTTCAACCATCTAGTGAAAAAATAAAAGTAAAGGATATTATTGACACAGAAACACCAAATATGCCAAATAATATTTTAAAAGTGATTTTCAGAAAATAAAAGAAACTAGAAATTATCCCTAAATGACAATAGATGATAAATAGATATACTATAACTTCTTGTATATTGCATAGCTTAAAAAATTATTAAGTTAAGGAGGTCTGGTGGTCTAGTGGCAAGAAGCTGCACTGCAATGCCAGAGGTGTGTGGTTTAAATATGCCAGATGCTCTGTCAGAGAAGGGGGGACAATCTCCTCCTGTACCAGTCAGATCCTATTTGATGGTACACACACACAAAAATAATAAAATAAAAACTAAAAATGTAAAAAAATTGGTAAGTTAAAATGAACACCAAACACAAATATTTTCAGGAATTTTAGAAATAACAACAAACAAAATATAATGGTCATTACCATTTCTGTTAGAAAAAGGACTCATTTTGAAAATTTTTCTTTCTCTTTTTTCTATAAGGAATTAAGGATGAATAATAAAACAGAAGAAGAGCCATAAACTCTTTTATGTTATTTTTCAAGGACAAAGCTATGAAAATATAAACAAAAATATTACATCCTTTTTTAATGTAAGATTTATGAAAGATCAGTAAATACATATAATTATATTGGATCAAAGAATAGAAGAGATGATTTCTAGGTAAATATAATAAAAATAAAAGGGGAAAATATCTTTCGAGAAAGATTTTGCTTTTTTCTTTTGTTGTAAAAATTATTTTAATTAACTCATGACTAGATAGAACTATCTATGGCAGGAAATAATGAATGCAAAATTCAAGCTTACTCAGTAAGGTCTTCAGGATTACTGATAGTAGCAGAAAGTGCCAAAAAGGGGCATCGGATCATAACAAGAAGATGTTCCCAAACCTCTGCTCCAATTTCTCCCCCAAGACAGTGAACCTGTTGATATACAAAATTATTTTGAACACAAAAATAAGGTGCTCTCATTTCTTATAGTGGTAAAGAGGTGTACTGCCAGTTAGTTCAAAATCATCAGTTGCTCCACGGGAGAAAGGTGGACATTCTCTTCTCATACAAATTTTTTGTTGTTGTTAGGTGCCAAGAAGTTGACTAAGACTCATAGTGATCCTATGAACAATAGCTCTAAACCTTACCCTATCTTAAGACAATCTCATTGTCTCTGACACAATCACCATCATTGCCATAGTCACTGTATCAATTCATCTAATCCAGGGTCTTCCTCTCCAGCACTCACTCCCTACCCTTCGAAGCATGATATCCTTCTCCAAGGACTGACTGGTCCCTCCTGGAAACGTACCTAACCTAAGTTAAACGGAGTTTCAAAATTCTGCCTCCAGGAAGCAAACTGGTTTTATCCTCTCCAGAACTGATTTGTCTGAAGACCTGTTAGAGAGTTAGCTATGAGAGGATTGCAACTCAACAGTACAATATAAAATGAGTTAGAAATTTTCTAAGATTGTGCTACCAGAATCTATCATACCCTTCTCATTTCAATTTGATAGCAATAGTCTTTGATCTCTGATAAAGTTGGTCAGTGAATCCAATATGCTTCTGAGAATATTTACCAATTATCTGAGATTTCTACCAAAGATAAATCAAGATCTGATTTGATCCATCTTGTATTTAAGAGCTGAATGAAATTTTACTGCTTCTGAAAACCCACCAGAGGGTCAGCTAAGAGTTTGTTCTAACTCTACAGTACACAATAACAATCCTAGTATACCCTAGTAACAAAGCCTTTTCACTAAAGACCAAAGAAAAGAACAAGTTGTCTAAAAAGAATATTGTCTAAATTATAGAGATTGTCATACAATCAGTGCAGTAAGATGAAGAAAAACTTCTATAAAGATATACCAAAACCATTATACAAATTAACTTGAAATAAGTTTCTCTACTCTAACCGATTAACTAGGTGGTTAGACACAGTAACTGGCACAATGGGCTCTTGGTGTAAGGAAATGTGAGAATGGCATAGGATAGAACAGAATTCAGTTCTTTGTTCATAGGGTCGCTATGAGTCATATTCAACTAGATGGCATCTAACAACAAGTCTAACTCAGTCTATATATAGAAAATGTGTACACAGTACTCATTCTATCATAGAAATCAAAGGAAGTATCTGCTATGAATTGCTTCTGATTCAATGGCCATAAGTTTTAATGAATTATAAATATAAGCTATGTAAAAGCAATAGTTGATAAATAAGTGGTGACTGTTATGTTGATGGAGCAATGACTGTTAGTGTTACTTAAATAAAATTCCAAGCATAAGAAAACATGCCGTTTAGAGTTTTAATTCAATGTTATATATAATAACTTTACATCTCACCTTTTTACATTGTGGAGAACACTCTCTTCCACTATGCTGTAACATGACATAGCATAGAAAATGAAGAAAAGAAGAACAAACTCCCTGTATTCTAATTTTAGCTTTGCACTTAAAAATGCACAAATTGCTGAAAATTAGCTAATTTATATTTGCATCAATATTGCAAACATAATAATGGCAGCATCTTCTTCATAGGTTTTTCCCTGAGGAGTTAATGGCTTTATGGCTGCAAATTATTTAGGATAAATGTCCATAGAAAAATTGCAATATTGATAACATCATTATATATATATATATGACAGTATGTGTAAAAATTATTTGTATCTAAAAGTGATTTTTCTATATTTTTCTGTTTTATCATGAAATACAATATTCATTAAATTGTATATAATATTTCACATTATAGCAGTGTGATAAAATAAACATATCATTCCTATAAATAAAATAAATTCTATTTCTAACATGTCAGAAATATCATTCTGTGGAATTATTATTTTACTGTACAATTATGTATTATCTTAAATCATAAATTCCACTGTCACTATGTCATTTTAATCTGAATTTTTACCTATTTTTTCCAGTCCCACTGCTTCAAGATCTATCATTTACTAGTAGCCTATAAAAATTATTTCTATAACTAACTTAATAATATTCACACAAAGGCCACTTCTATCAAAATAATTTATACACACAGTATTGTCAACCAAATTATCTAGTTGGGAAAATTTAAAGTGACATACCTCATCAAATATGACATATCTAATTCTCTTCACCCAATTTTGTCTATGAGGCGATAATAAGAGTATTTCTAAACACTGAGGTACTGTTACCAATATCTGTGAAAAATACATTAGAGAATTATTAAATTGATATTTTCTTAAGATTAGCTTTAAATCTCAGATATTAATATTAAATTCCAGATAACAATGCATTTATAATAATAGATACATGTTCTAGAAAGAATTTCACTTATATATGGTAAAAGGAATATGTACAAAATATCCCATGCATTCTAACTAACACATTCAAAAAAGTTTCAATAGTTTTCATTTATTCTCTAACACAGTACACTGGGAGTATAAAATCATCACAATTTGAAGGCACTGATATTATAATAAGCTGTTTATTTATGTTGAGGTTTCAGAAAAAGAGAGCACTCTACTTTTAGCAGAAGATGTAATCTTTTCAAATTTAACTATTTTATTAAGTGTAATAACCAAATAACTTGTTCAAATACAAATATATTCATTGGAGTAAATTTTATTACAGTAAAATGTTGAAATCCTTAACTAGAGTAAAATAGTAAAAGTATTATGTAAATTGCATGTATCCACGGAGAGAATTGTTATCTGTCTGCAAGTCACGCCTCATGGGATGAGAATGTTTAATTCACAGGCTTTTTATAGGCTAATTTTTAGAAGTAGATCACCAAGTCTTTTTTTAGCCTAAAATTTCTGCTGAAATTTGTTCAGTGTCATGTAAGCATGCAAACTTTCATCAACAGAAAACTAGTGGCTTCATTTGAGTAACACTGGCCAAAAATCCAGTCATGGAGAGTGAAAATTCCTACTCTTTCTTCTCTTTCTCTCTCACATGCATACATACACCCACACATCCTTCATTTCTTACATGTACAGTATACCTGACAATTCAAGGCGTCATGACGATAATCTCTTGTAAAAACTCCACATAGCACTACTCCATTTGGCAGTGATTTGTTAAATAAACTGCAGATAGTCCCCACAACTTGATTAACAAGAGCCTAAAGTCATAAAAGACAGAAGAATCTGTTATTCATTGATTACTGAAAACATCACAAATTCATCTGAAGTCTAGAATCTGGAATAATTTGCATTTAAAGACATTATTAATTATATGTAACTTTCTTTAAATTAATTGATCAATTTTACATTATGACAATCTTCTAGTCCTATTTTAAACTTTTACTGCAATGTTTGATAGCTTGTACATGTGTATTGCTATTTTATCTAAAGAGCAAAGGAGTAAAAAAATTATGCACATTAACAGATACATATGTGCACAAGCAAAATTAGATAATGTTTTTATTATTTTCAATTATCTTATAATAAATATATCATTTTCTTTACACGTAATTTAATTTCATTACACTGAAAGGATGACTTCTATGATATAGTCCCTCTAACATTAATTTATATTCTCCTCTCAATATAGTTTAAGACCAGCAATTAAACATCATCCTATAAAAGTGTAAAGGATAAATACATTCAATTCTCTTCTAAGTAAAGAGATTTAGTCAAGAATCACTTGACTTTATTTTCACAGTTTGCTGTAATCAGGAATTGCTCTACAGAATATCTCCAACCATCAATTTCCCCTCCCATAGAGCAGATTAAACTCCATGTGTTGCAGAGTCAAACTGCCCCATAGGATTTTCTTGGCTGTAAACCATGGACACAGATCCCAGACCTCTCTTCCACAATATCCATAGGAAAGTTTGAACCACCAACATTTCATTTATTTTATATATGTTATGCCCTTTGAGTTGGAACCAACCCATGACTGACATTCCAGAGGTTTTTAGAGGCTATAAATTGCACAGCCGTACACTGTTCATCTTTCTTCCGTAGAGCAGCTGGTGGATTCAAACTGTGTGTCTTTGGGTTGGCAACAAAACTCCTTCTAATTAGTGCACCAGAGCCCATGTGAGTACAAAATGAAAGACCTCTATCCAACCACAGAACATGAAACACTGAAAACTGTTCTGTCTCTGAAGGAGCTATCTATATTATCTTAAGATGATAGGTCTGCTGCAGATTTCAAATCTTCTTTGGAAGAATCCTCAAAACTGTCAAGTCTCATAACAAATGCTGAACCTAAATTTTTAAGTAGGTTGTAGACACCTGCATGAATATTCATTAACTGTTAATGTAATGGTCATCTTCCATTTCCAGACAGTATTTTAGATGCATATATGTAGTCCACAGAAAAATAAAACAAAGTAAATTAAGAAATTATTCCAGTCCACACAGTTTTTGAGTCCTCACATCCCATACTGTTTATTGAGGCCTGTACATTTCAGCACCTCCCTATGATTTAGGGCACATAGTGAGAGTTGAGAAAAATTGTTGTTATTGCTAAATGCTATTGAATGAGAACCAAATCATGGTTGACCCTCTAGCAGTTTTTCACAGGCTGTAAATCTCAAGGGAGAAGATTATCTATCTTTCTCCCATGGTTTAGGTAATAAATTCAATCACCTGCCTTTATGTTGGCATTATAACTCCTTACCATTATACACTAATTATCCTCTTATTATATTCAAGAGGTTGGTAAATAATGTCAGTATTCTCAAGTTAATTCATTCAAGTATGTTTTGGTTTTGTTGACTGATTATAGATAAACATTTACTTGGATTCTTGCCTGTAGCATGTTTCTTTGACAACATAACTAACCACGAGGCCATCAGAGCTCTCTTCAACAAAAGTTAACACAGGACAGAGTATCATCTAGACAAAATACCTTTGTTGGAGCAACGTACACAACAACCCCTTCATCGCTCTCTCGTAATATCTTCTCCATGCAGTAATAAGAAGCATAGGTTTTGCCAGATGAAGTTGGAGCAACAATCACAGCAGATTCATTATTATCAACAACATCAAGAAGTTCCCTCTAAATAAAAAAGAAACCATGTTTTTCAAATGAAAAGTATATTTAATTAAAAATTTTCTTCAATTGTATATGAAACTATTTAGCAATCAGAATTCTTCACTACTGGGACACACTGGTGTTCAAACAGGTGATTCATTTACAGGAATCACTAGTGTTCTGTAAATGAGTCACTGCTCAGATTCTCTACAGCTCTTCACATCAACTCAGATTCTCACATATACACATCCACAGATACCTTCAAACAAGCCCTAATAACAGATATTACTACAAACGCTCTACCAGGATGGCTTATAGCTCAGCTCTCTTTATCTTCTTAGCTTGTGTTGGGGAAGTGTCAGTGGAACACAGAATAACAACAATAATCTGCTGCTATTCTTTGTATCTCCATTTTATATCCATAAATTAAATAGAAAAATATATGTACATCCATACACAAATGGGAGCTCTGCTGGCCTAGTTTTAAGGAGCTGTATGACAAACCCAAAGACACGAGGTTCAATTCCCCCAGCTGCTTTATGAGAGAAAGATGAGCAATCTCTTCTTGTGTGAGTTGTTGCTGTGTGTTGGGTCAAAATGGACCTTCCATTGGGTTTTCAGAAGCAGTAAATCACATGAGAGGAGAATATCCATGCTACTCCTGCCAAGGAAGCTGGTAGATTGGAACCATGTGCCTTTGGGATTGCAGCACAGCCTCTTACTTCCTGGCCTCCTAACTGCCTTTGAAAATGATGAGTCAGGTCTGATTTGATGACACACAGCAACAACACAACATACACACAATATTAAATAAGCCATACTGTTAAGATATATTATGAGTAAAATTGATATTTAACATTTGGACAATCTGAAAACACCACTACATAAAAACAAAATCAAATAAACTCTTGCTTAATGCTGTGGTTGTTGTTAGCTGTAATCTTTTCAAAAGAACAAAGTCCCACTGATCCTTGCCATTTTTACAATCTCTACTAAACTTAAATCCATAATGGTAGTCAATTCATCTCATTAAGATTTCCTTTCCTTTGCACAAACTACACTTTTCCGAGTATGCCTATGTCTATAAACATCAGATACTATAATTTATTTGAAATTAAGAGAATATATTCCTTAATCACCTAGTGTAATGTATAAAGAGCAATCTAACTGTATTTAGTCTGATTTTTAAACCAAGATAATTTAATAGGTAGAATATGTTCAAAGAGATACTGTTGTTGTTATGTGTTGTCGAGTCACTTGTGACTCATAGCAACCCTATGTATAAAAGCCCTAAACGCTGCTCTGTCCTGTGCCAATCTATCTCTGAGACACCTACCCCCATTATACTGGTCACTGAATCAATCCACCGCATAGAGGGTCTTCCTTTCCTGCGCTGTACCTCCAACCTCCCAAGCATGACGTCTTTCTCCAAGGATTGGTCCCTCTTTGCAACATGTCCAAAGTATGTCAGACAAAGCTTCAGAATCCTTGCCTCTAAGGAGCAGCCTGGTTTAACCCTCTCCAGGCTGATTCTTGGAAGCCCATGGTACATTCAATACTCTTCTCCAGTACCACAGCTCAAAGGCATCAATTTTCCTGCTATCCTCCCTGGTCATTGTCAAGCTCTTTGACACATAGCAAGTGATTGCAAAGACCATGGCCTGTATCAGAGATATATATGTATGTATGTATACATATATGTATATGTATATGCAGATGTAGATGTATCTGCTATTTTGGAAGTGGACGGCCAATCCTTCTTCATAATGTGTCTTAATCTGAATGTTCAGATTTAGAGAAGTATCCAACAGATAAGCATTTTACAGAAAAAGTGAAAATATATCCCTTATTGTGGAATTCACCATTAGTTTTGGTGTTGTCCCTGCCTTTGGCACAGGTGTCTTGACCCACTTATTTCTTTGCTCTACCATCCATTAAGATACCTGTCCACTTCTACCCACTCCCTTCAACATCTATCTCCCATTGTCCAGCCCTTAATTTGATAGCTTATATCTAAAGCTTCCTTGGCTTTTGTGATTCCAGACTTGTCAGCTGCTAACAGTTTCTTATGCTGTGAACAAGGTCTCCTAAGTTTAGTGGTAATGTGTCCCAAACGAAGGTGATGTGTCCTGTGGAACTAGTATGTAGATAGTTTCTTCTTGGCCAGAGGGCCCGACTGAGTCCCACGCAGCCTTGGGGGTCTTCTGCTGTTACCTGTATGGGCAGGAATTTTCAGCTCTGCTGAGCTGTCTTGTTTTTTTGCCTGCTTTCTGCACTCTGTATGCGTCCCAAGACCCAATCCTGCGTAGCCTTGGGGATCCTATGCTGTTACCTGTATGGGCAGGGCTTTGCAGTTCTGTCTTGCTTTTTCACTTGCTTTCTGCCCTCTTTAAGCATCCTGTGACTGAGTCCTGGGCAGCCTTGGGGGTCCCAACAGAGTGTGCAAACTATAGAACAATATTATTAATTTCACATGCAAATAAGATTCTACTGAAGATTATCCAAAAACGACTGAAACAGCACATCAGCAGAGAACTGCCAGAAGTCCAGGCTGGGTTTAGAATGGGTCATGGTACTACGGATATTGTAGCTAATGTTAGATGGATCTTGGCTGAAAGCAGGGAGTACCAGAGGAATGTCTATCTGTGTTTCATTGACTATTCAAAGGCGTTTGACTGTGGATCATAACAAACTGTGGCTGACTCTGAGAAGAATGGGAATCCCAGAACACTTGATTGTGCTAATGTGAAACCTATATTTGAGCCAAAAGGCAGTCATCAGAACAGAACAAGGAAATACTGCATAGTTCAAACTTGGGAAGGGCCTATGGCAGGGATGTGTCCTGTCTCCATACCTTTTCAACCTGTCTGCAGAACAGAT